CACCTTAGGGGCAGTTGATGGCGTGTGCGTTTTACGAGGCAAGTACAAGGACACTGAATTCCTTCGCCGCTGCCATGCAACGTCTCGGCGGCTCAGTCATATACATGAATAGTGAGACGTCGTCCGTACGAAAGGGCGAGACGTTAGAAGGTTTGTATGTTCGTTGCTGCGCGTGTTCTTTACAGTTCTTTGGCTCATCGATCGCAGTTCTTTGCAGATACCATCAGGATTTTGTCAGGCTATTCGAACCTCATTGTTATTCGTCATCCAGAGCCGGGCACGGCTGAACGTGCCGCGTTGGTCAGCAAGCAGCCGGTGATCAATGCTGGCGACGGAACGGGCGAGCATCCGTCGCAGGCACTGTTGGATGTGTTTACGATCCGTGAGGAGATCGGTACCGTGAACGGTCTTACGGTAAGAAACGGCGATGGCCGAATGTCAGTCACGTTTCGAGTTCTTCAGTGATGTTTTTCGCATTATCCCGTTCTCGTTTCGTTTAGGTGACGATGGTCGGTGATCTGAGGAATAGTCGAACCGTGCATTCGTTGGCAAAATTGTTGTGCCTGTACGACGTGTCGTTGAGATACGTATCCCCCACTGGCCTGGAGATGCCTTCCCATATCACTAATTACGTCGGTTCTCGGGGTATAGCGCAGGTAATTTGTGAGTGTATTTAGCGTTTTACGTCTGATCCGTAACCGCTCTTTTGCTGAAGGAAACCTGCGACAACCTAGAGCAAGCTGTAATCGGTACCGATGTCCTTTATGTTACCCGCATTCAGAAGGAACGCTTTGTAAATATGGACGAGTACAACCGGGTGTTCGGCAACTACATCGTCGACCCTGAGCTGATGCGCAATGCCAAAGAGAAAATGATCGTCATGCACCCGTTGCCGAGAATCAATGAAATCACGTACGCCCTTTGGCCTTAATTGTGAAAGTGATTCATATAGTCCAAAAAACATTAAATAGTAATTTTAAAATTTTGAAAGATGTGGGAAATGGCTGATCCGATCGCCACCTGTTAAGAACCTGAAAATTCCGTTGTGTTTCACTGCTCTAGATGGAATTATTGTTTAAGTAGGAATTATCAGCCCGAGTAACCACATCCTCATTAGTGAATCGTTTAACGGTTCGTAACAGACCTTCACAGCTACCATCGTAACTGCGTCCTTTCACAGTTATCGGGTAAGGAACATATATTCTATCACATTGCATACTCGCCGTGATCCCGCAGTACAATGGGGCAACCGTGACGACTCATTTAGTTCTTGCTGTAGAA